AAAATTTCAGAATAAATGTCCCTCTACTGCTAAATATTTGGGAGAGTATTTCCTAAAAATAAAAACCAAGGATATTCTCATATATTAGTTCAGTATAATAATCAGACTTAGGAAATTAACCTTGTTACAATACTATTGTCTAATCTAGAGACTTTATTCGGATTTGTTAGTTGTCCCAGTAATGTTCTTTATGGCAAAAGAAAAAAAATTCTGGCCCAAGATCTCCTTGTGAATCACTTATGACATTTAGTTGTTGTATCTTCGTAGTCTCCTTCATTCCTGAACGACTCTTTAGTCTTTCTTTGTGTTTTACGACCATGGTATTTTGAAGAACGCAGGCCGCTTATTTTGTAGAATGTCCTTCATTGTGGGTTATGGTTATAATTTGATTTATAATTAGAATAAATTTTTGTTCTACTTAAGTCCATTTTGGTCAGTTATGTCCATCTAGGAGATTATGTATTTCCCCCTAAATTTTCAAATTTGTTAACATAATTTTTATAATATTTTAAAAGTTTGCTATATTTGTAGTTACAAATAGACTTTCATTCTTGTTATCATTTATATGTATCACATCCCCTTTTTTTTCTTGATTGTTTTACCTGATGTTTCTTTATTAGTTATCTAAAAGAATGGGAACTTAATTTTGTTAATTTAAAAACATGGTACATATTCTATTTATTTTTACTCTTATTTTCTTCTGCTTTTCTTTAGGTTTACTCTGATATTCTTTTGCTAGCCCTTTAAAGACCTTTTTAAAATTCATTACTTTTCATGATAAACATATAAGATTGTAAATGTCCCTCTAGTTATCACCTTGACTGTAGCATATATCTTTTAGTATGTAGTATTTTTATTATCATTTGGTTCTAAATATTTGCTAATTTGCCTTGTAATTTTTAATTTAACTTGTGAGTTAATTTAGAAGGAAGTGTGGCTCATCCACCTATTTTAATTGCCTTTGAGAATATGGTCAGAGAACATGTGTGCTACCAATTTTTTCCATGTCTTGAGATTTCCATTAGGGCCTGGAATAGGATCCTCCCCAGTATTTTGTCCCTGGGCCTTACTGACTCTGGCAACATCAAGTTCTGATTCTTGTCACATCAGACTAGTGAAAAAGGAAACTTGCTGTTTGGCTGTATTTCACCATATAGCAGTCTAGATAGTATCCTCATGATAAAGGCCAAGGTCAGTGTGGAAGCTCAACTATTACACTTTTCAGAGGGATCGTCACCTCTCCTTGCCTGTATTGGTTCTCCAGTGTCTTCACACAGTTGTTTTCATATATTTGTCTGGTTTGTGCCAAGAATCACAGCCAGGTGGCAATAACTTTTTATTACGCTCATAGTAAGTTTGGAAGTGACATCTAGGGACATGGGGTCACTGTGACCTATTGTCGCCTGTAGCTTTCTTGTGATAATAATAAAAAAGAGCCAGGTATGTTGGTGTACACCTGTAATCACAGGTACATGGGAGGCTGAGGTGGGACGATCATTTAAAAGCTTGAGGCCAGGAGTTTGAGACCAGCCTGAGTCAACATAGTAAGTCCTCCTCTCTATTTAAAAAAAAAAAAAAGTAGGCCAGGTGCGGTGGCTCATGCCTGTAATCCTAGCACTTTGGGAGGCCGAGGCAGGTGGATCACTTGAGGCTATGAGTTCGAAACCAGCCTGGCTAACATGGTGAAACCCTGTCTCTACTAAAAATACAAAAAATTAGCCGGGTATGGTGGTGGGTGCCTGTAATCCCAGCTGCTTAGGAGGCTGAGGCACGAGAATCTCTTGAGCCTGGGAGGTGGAGATTGCAGTGAGCTGAGATTGCGCCACTGAACTCTAGCTGGGCCACAGAGCAAGACTCCATCTCCAAAAAAAAAAAAAGTGATCAAAAGGTACACACAAGAACATGACTCAGGGTGTCTGTTAGGTTGATTTGAGTGAATGCCAGCTAAGTCTTAGCAAGTTTGTTGGATGAAGATTTTGTTACATCTATGCATTAAAGCAAAAATTGAAAGTGGATGGCACACTTTTTTACATATAAAAAACTTTTTTTTTTTTTGAGACGGAGTTTGGCCCTGTCACCCAGGCTGGAGTGCAGTGGTGCAATCTCAGCTCACTGCAACCTCTGCCTCCCGGGTTCAAGTGATTCTCCTGCCTCAGCCTCCCAAGTAGCTGGGATTACAGGCACACACCATCATGCCCAACTAATTTTTGTATTTTTAGCAGAAATGGTGTTTTGCCATGTTGGCCAGGCTGGGCTTGAACTCCTGCCTCAAGTGATCCACCCCCCGCTTGACCTCCCAAAGTGCTGGGATTACAAGTGTGGGCCCCTGCACCAGACCTGCATATGAAAAACTTAGTCCATATCAGTTTGAGGTTTACTCATGAGAGTTTATTATAATCTTCCTCTGCTTGGGAAAAAACCATGTGGTCGTTAATTTTTAAATAGATGTGATATTCTGAATGTTGTAATTCCTGTAGGAGGTGTATATGTGAAGTTTTTGTGAAATTGTAACTGAACAAATCAATACAAATGGCCCTTGACTTAGGATGTTCAACTTAACAATTTTTGTTTTGTTTTGTTTTGTTTTTTACAATGGGTTTTTCAGGGTATTAAATGCATTTTTGACTTATGATATTTTCAACCTATGATGAGTTTGTTGGGACATAGCCGTAAGTTGCAGAGCATTTGTAGTTAGTATTGAATATAGTATATGTGTATCAGTTAGCTGTTGTCATAATACTGCATTTTACAGTATTAAAGTTGGTTCTTTAACATTTACAGTTGGGTTCTCTGGAAGCAGATTCTGATAGCAGTTTTTATGCGGGAAATTTATTAGGGATTACCGTTGGGATCAACACTTGTGGAATAAGAGGGAAGGAGGCAGGATTGGCTAGTGGGAGGAGGTGGATACAGTCCACCTCAGCCTCAGCTGACTCCAGCTAATTTGTGGCATCCCAAATCAGGGTGAAAAGCTGGGCCTTTACAGCCCTGCATTATTGGATGCAGGTTGCTCCAGGAAGGGTGGGTGGACTTTCACGATGAATTGTTCTTGAATTGAAATAATTCCAAAAAAGATCAGCAGCTGAGGACTGTCTTGTTCACAACACTTCTGGCAACTGGGTGAATTAAGTTCTTTATTCTCAAAGAGGAAAACACATCTATTACACTGCCCAAATTTCGGTGGCTTATAACAACAAGCATTAATTTCTGATACACTCATCTGCAGATTGTCTGGGATTCTGCTGAACTAGACTGGGCTCTGATGTAGGTGCCAAGCTATAGGTTGGGTCCAGATCTGCTCCACGTATTTGTCATCCTCCATGGACAAAACTCAGTAGCACAAGGGGGCAAGGCCAAATGTGCAAACACTTGTCAAGGCTCGGTTATGTTACATATCCTAACATCCTGTTTGCCAAGCAAGTCACATGGCCAAGCCCAACCTCAGTGGAATGGAAGAATACTCTCCTGTGGAGGTGTGGGGTAGGGAGTGAATATTTGCTGAACAATAGTCCAATCTACCCATAGTGTGGTTCTGCTTAACAAAAGATGAGAATTCCACTGCCAAGATTTCCTTGTCAGTCTTTCTCCTAAAATACTGCTTTTTGTCATCTCCATCTGTTATGAATGAGATGAAATGTGACAACACCTTCACTGCTTTTTGGCAGAGAGAACAGCTTGTGCTGGGTTTCTTATGATTTTTACAATTTAGATTTGAATGGATCGTGCAATGTGTATTGGTATCTCTATTGAAAACATGGTATCTTTGCAAAGTATTTAATCTGGAGGGAAGACTTTTAGTTTAGTTTTCTTCTTCTTGTTTTTTGTTTGTTTGTTTATTTGTTTGAGACGGAGTCTCACTCTGTCACCAGGCTGGAGTGCAGTGGCCCGATCTCAGCTCATTGCAACCTCTACTTCCTGGTTTCAGGCAGTTCTCCTGCCTCAGCCTCCCGAGTAGCTGGGACTACAGGCACGCGCCTTCACACCCAGCTAATTTTTGTATTTTTAGTAGACACGGGGTTTCACCGTGTTGGCCAGGATGGTCTTGATCTCTTCATGATCTGCCTGCCTTGGCCTCCCAAAGTGCTGGGATTAGAGGCGTGAGCTACTGCACCTGGCCTAGTTTTCTTTTTCTTTTTTTTTTTAAATATAGGCACTCAACTCTGTGCTCAGCTAATTAAAATTTTTTAATTAATTAAATTTTAAAATTAAAAAATTAATGCTGAGACTGGTCTTGAACTCCTGCCTTGGCTTCCCAAGGCCTCTCAAAAGCTCTGGGATTACATGCCTGAGCTAATGTACCTGGCCAACTATTTCTTTTCTTTTCTTTTCTGTTTTTTTGGAGACAAAGTCTCACTCTGTCACCCAGACTGGAGTACAATGGCACGGTCTCTGCTCGCTGCAATCTCCGCCTCCCGAGTTCAAGCGATTCTCCTGCCTCAGCCTACTGAGCAGCTGGGACTGCAGGTGCGTGCCACCACACCCGGCTAATTTTTGTATTTTTAGTAGAGATGGACTTTCACTCTGTTGGCCAGGCTGATCTCAAACTCCTGACCTCGTGATCCGCCTGCCTTGGCCTCCTAAAGTGCAGGGATTAACAGGTGTGAGCCACCACACCCAGCCTCAAAATTCTTTTTCTTATTTTAAGTTGAGGTGTACATATGGTAACATATATAGAGTGCCCTACAGTTTGTTACACAATGTAAACATTTTTACGTGTGTATATATTCGTATAACCATCACTAGATGGTAAAGAACATTACCAGTGTCTCAACAGCTTCCCTTCTGCTCTTCTCCAGTTAGAAAATAATTATTCCGCCTTCTCTCACAATCAATTAGTTGTTCATTTTTTCAAACTTCTCTGGCATTTCAAATTTGTATTACCTTACTGATAATATAACCACAAGTCTTTGGTCCTGTGTTATGTGACTGTGTCTTGTCTTAGCTTGTTTTCTTTATTTACCCTACATCTTTTCTACTGGATTTTGTCTCTTCTGTTACAGAAACTGTATTCATGTAAAGCTCTTAAGGGTAAGATTAGACTACATAAAGTCCATTCAAAAGAAACTTCTGTGTGTATCAGAAAGATGAGGTTTGCATGGACTTCTGACACATAATATGATCCTCTGGTTTCCTTTATGAAGTTGATCAGTTTCAAAGGAATTATTTCCTAGTAACTCCAGAGTGTACACACCTGATGAGTGTTTACTTTCTACACATTCTGACCTTTGCTGTACTCTCCTTTGGTCTGTGGTATAAATGTGCGCTTTGGAGGTTTCATAGCTCCTGGTCAGCAGTAATTCTAATGTATTCTTTCTCATTTGATTTGAGACAGTACGGGAGCTTCTCCTCTGAAAGCAAATGATTCCTTCAGTGTTCAGGAACACAAACTGAACACTAAAGAGTAGAATCTTTGAAACAACGAATATAATCACTTTTTGTCATAATCACTTGGTGAAGGCTAATATACTACTTCAGTTCTTTGAAGCCTTATTAGGTAACAGCCCATCATCATTTAAAAAAGTACTCATAAGAAAAGCAATTTCATTTATTTAACATGAACACAAAACTGAAAATCCATTCACGATTTGAGTGGTTGGTGTAGTATCAGCTGAGAAAAATGCACTTAATTCTGTGACTGGTTTCAGGGCCCCTGTTAATTATAAAAATTTCTTTTGGCTGGGTGCAGTGGCTCATGCTTGTAATCCCAGCATTTTGGGAGGCCAAGGCAGGCGGATCACTTGAGTCCAAGAGTTAGAGACCAGCCCCGGCAACAGGGCAAAACTCTGTCTCTACTGAAAATACAAAAATTAGCTGGGCATTGTGGCATGTACCTGTAGTCCCAGCTATTTGGGAGGCTGAGGTGGGAGGATCACTTGAGCCCAGGAGGCAGATGTTACAGTGAGCTGAGATCATGCCACTGCACTCCAACCTGAGCAACAGAGTGAGGCCCTGTCTCAAAAGAAAAAGATACATTATTTTCATTTTGAGGAATGTTAGCATTTTTTAATATGTTTCAATCTTTCGGTTTTGTCTTTTTTTTTTTTTGAAACGGAGTCTTGCTCTGTCACCCAGTCTGGAGTGCAGTGGTGCGATCTCGGCTCACTGCAAACTCCACCTCCCGAGTTCATGCCATTCTCCTGCCTCAGCCTCCAGAGTAGCTGGGACTACAGGTGCCCACCACCACGCCTGTCTAATTTTTTGTATTTTTAGTAGAGACAGGGTTTCACCATGTTAGCCAGGATGGTCTCGATCTCCTGACCTCGTGGTCTGCCTGCCTCAGCCTTCCAAAGTGCTGGGATTACAGGCGTGAGCTACTGTGCCTGGTTATTTTTTTTTTGAGATTTTTTTTTTTTTTGGAGTGCAGTGGCGCAATCTCGACCCATTGCAACCTCCACCTCCCAGGTTCAAGTGATTCTCCTGCCTCAGCCTCCTGAGTAGCTGGGATTACAGGCACGTGCCACCATGCCTGGCTAATTTTTTGTATTTTAGTAGAGACGGGGCTTCACCATGTTGTCCAGGGTGGTCTCAAACTCCTGAGCTCAGGCAATCCACCTACCTTGGCCTGCCAAAGTGCTGAGATTACAGATGTGAGCCACCGTACTTGGTCCTGATGGTTTTAAAAATGGGAGTTTCCCTGCACAACCTCTTGCTTTTTGCCTGCTGCCATCCACATAAGATGTGACTTGCTCCTCCTTGCCTTCCACCACGATTGTGAGGCCTCCCCAGCCGTGTGGAACTGTAAGTCCATTAAACCTCTTTATTTTGTAAATTGCCCAGTCTCAGGTATGTCTTGATCAGCAGTATGAAAACAGACTAATACAGTGTGCTCCCTCTCTGTCTCTCTTTCACACACACAAACATCTTATTGTACTATATTCATCTATTTTCAGACTGCACTTGACTATGGGTAACTGAAACCTTGGAAAGTAAACTCATGAATAATGGGATCTACTTCATTATTTTCAGAGTTGATGTAAAAGTGTGTAAAAGTACATACAGCTAAACTGCACAGTCTGTCTAGTGAGGTTAGTTACAGAATTTAGCTGATTCTGAAATTTGCAGAGCAAAAGCTGAAGAACCAAGTTCAATTCTTTTTTTTTTCCCCCAACCTCTGCTGCAGAAGAGTGAGAGGAAGTTCACTTGAAAATTGGAAGTCAATTGTTCCATGGTTGTGACACTAGCAACAAAAGACTACGTGTGGCCAGTGGCCTTTGCTGTGATTATAACTAGGAAATTGATCATGAAATCCCTAGTTTTATTTTGTGGAATCCAATGATTTTTTTTTTTTCTTTTTGACGGAGTCTCACTCTGTCACCCAGACTGGAGTGCATGATCTTAGCTCACTGCTACTTCTGCCTCCTGGGTTCAAGCAATTCCCCTGCCTCAGGGGCAGCCTTAGTAGCCGGGATGACAGGTGACTGCCACCACACCCAGCTAATTTTTGTAGAGACGGAGTTTCACCATATTGGCCAGGCTGGTCTCAAACTCCTGACCTCAGGTGATCTGCCTGCATTGACCTCCCAAAGTGCTGGGATTACAGGTGTGAGCCACTGCATCCAGCACCAATGATTGATTTTAAGTGAGATGTCAACCCTTGTTAAAGCATTTATTTACTGTACCTAAACATGTTTACATGTTCTAAATACTGCTGTTACTCTGTGAACAAATTCATAATCTATACACTTATTATTATCTTGGTTAATAACATCACTGTGTGTGTGTGTGTATATGTACATATATATACATATTAGTGCATACTTTTGCTAATAATGTTTTCACTTTAATAGATATTTGTTGATATTTGAGCTCTCCTACAGTCTCCTACCAGATAATGAGGGATCACTTAAAAGGTATTTTTTTAAAAATACAAATAAGAAAAGATCTTTCACATACATTCTCATTTGACCCTCACAGGCCTCTGAGGTAGGCAGCACGGATATTTTTCTCATTTAACAAACAAGGAAAGTGAGTCTCAGCAGTTAACTGATGTGGTGCCCCAGGTTCTACAGTTAGCAAATACTTTGTATTAATATCAGTCTTTGACCTAAAAATTCAGCACCCAACTTCCCCTTGTACTTGCCCTACCTACTTCACAGGAATAATGAAGGTAAAATGAATTCAAGGCTAGAAAAATACTTTGAGAGAAATATCACTGCGATTATACTTAGAAAGTATAATTTTCCATGATATTATGGCTCACTCCCCTTCTCATCCCAACTTGTGCGTGAACCGCAGATTTTATGTTGCCTTTGTTCTGTGCTCAACTAAGCAACTAAGTAAGGCAGGGAACAGTGTGATTCTGTTTAAAGTTATATAAGTTACATTTGGTGTAACTGCTATCATTAAGCGAATTGAAAACAGCACAGAAAGGCCAATGTGCAACTAGGCTTCACTAAAGCACAGAGCGAAGCAAGGAAAGATGATCGGATAGGGCATGATAGCCTAGAAGGAAAACGTGGTGTCAGATTTCTGACTGGCACACACAGTTACCTAAGGCACAATGGTGGCAAAGCAGAGTTATTTGTTCCACATTATATAAACAAGAAGAGAAAATTAATGGGAACCCATGCAGAAGCATCTTGTGACACACAGATCTCTCCAGCTGCCTACAGGAAATATAAACAACAGTGCCCTCTTCATTTAAAAGAATGGCTGTACCTGTGCTCATTTTTTAAGCTACACCAAGGATTACCTCCATGCTAAACTTCATTGGCAAAAATACAAACAGCACCATCATTCCTCATCAGACTAATAAACAGAATATCTTTTAGGGTAATGAATTAGATGGATGTGTTTAGTTTTTTTTTTTTTTTTTTTTTCTCACTTTGGATTCTTCTGCTTTAAGATTCAAAACAATTTATATTGAGTATTTATAGATGATTCTAAGTGTGTTTATAATAGTAAAGTGTGATAGGTGAATGTAACATATTAAAAGAATTCTGTAGCATCTATCTAGCAAAGATTATGTAGTATACAAACTATTCAAGTTATACAAAACCATTTTTTAGTGTCTTTTCAACTGAGAAGAATTCTATCCTGCACACTTCACCTGTGGTGGTTCATATTTATCTTTCATTTCTGTCAATTCTAGGGAAAGCAGTTCTATTTCTGGATTTTCTGGGGTAGCAACTCCTAAGTGATGCTTTAAAAAACCAAAGCAGTATTAGGTTTCTCTGGTTCTTTTCTAAGGCTACCAGCACCTTCATTCAGCACCCCGGAGCCCTAAGCACCTCCAGAACTGCTTGATCTTGGAGTTAGCAGTGTTCTCATGGGCCATAGTGACAGCTGCAGTGACATAGCTGGCACTGAGACCTTGACTGGTAGCGGGCTTGGAGATGCACAACTTATGCCAAAAGCTAAATTTTTAAGAGTTCTATTGTTGCATAGAAGTGAAGCTATCCCCATTTGTGAAATTTTTAATAAATAGCAAGAGATACATTGTGTAAAAGGTGCAAGACTTGAAGTTCATGTGTTAGAAAGTCTGGGTGGGGTTGAGAGGTGGGGAGAAAAACAGAACTAGTTCTCATTTGGGCAAGAGTTAGATCACTTTGCAGCACCTATGTGCTAATCTGCAACATAGGCAGAGCTGATTGTGCTGTTTTTCAGTTTTCCTGTTATACATACAAGTACATGTATGTACATGCTGTGAATGACTCTCTTTCCAGTAGGAAAATAAAATAAAAGGTTTTTCAAAACTTTAAGTTTTAGAACCTAGTTATTGTTCTGATTGGAGGAAAATGCCTTCTTTTTTAAACAATAGGGCATCATTCTGTTGCCCAGGCTGGGGTGCAGTGGCACGATCTCAGCTCATTGCAGCCTCTACCTTCCTGGGCTCAAGTGATTTTCTCATCTCTGACTCCTGAGTAGCTGGGATTACAGGCAATGTGCCACCATGCCTGTTTTTTTCTTTTTTTGTGATGGGGTTTCACTGTGCTGCCCAGGCTGGTCTTGAAGTCCTGGGTGCCAGCGTTCTGCCCACCTTGGCCTCCCAAAGTGTTGGGATTATAGGCGTGAGCCACTGTGTCTGGCCAGAAAATGCTTTTTAAGTAAGCTAGACCTAAGTTACTTTTGCAAAAGTAACCTTGAGCCCAGGAGTTCAACGTTACAGTGATTGTGTCTTCTATCTTTTCTCCTTTCAAATTGTGCTTCAAATCACTCTCCCTTGGAATATATAAGAAACCCACAGTGGCCTTGCTGTTCCAAGCAAGCCTGGCCATCTATTCTTTGTCTTCTACAACCTCAACCAAGTTACCATATTAACATGAATATGTAACTTTGTTTTGTTTTGCTTTTTCTGTGCAGCATGTTTATAATTTTGTCTTAAACATCATACTGTGTTCCATTGCTTTCTTTCCATCTTAGTACATGATTCCTTAACCCAACCTGAGAATATTTTTTTCTCACTCTCTGATACATAATCTGTATATGTTTCCCTGGTCAAGGATGGCTGTGCTGTATACCTTGCACAAGAGCTGAAGTGACTTTGATATTTTTATTAATTTTTATTTTTTGAGATAGGCTGTCACTCTGTTGTCCAGGCTGGAGTGCAGTGGCATAAGTCACAGCTCACTGCAGCCTCAACCTCCTGGGCTCAAGCAATCCTCCCACCCCAGCCTCCCAAGTAGTTGGGACTATAGGCGTGCACAACCAGGCTTGGCTAATTGTTTATTTTTGTAGAGACAGGATCTCACTATGTTGCCCACACTGGTCTTAAAACTTGGGGGCTCAAGTGATCCTCCCACCTTGGCTTCTCGAAGTGCTGGGATTACAGGTGTGAGCCACCATGTGTGGACCGGCTAGACTTTCAAGGTTACAGTGAGCTATGACCATGCCACTGCACTCCAGCATGGGTGACAGAGCAAGAGCCTATGTCAAAAAAAAAAAAAAAAAGGTAAATAAATAAAAATAAAAGAGACTTAATCCTAGCGTTTTGTAGGCTATAGTGGGAGGATCACTTGAGCCCAGGAGTTCAAGACTAGCCTGGGCAACATAGCGAGACCCCCGTCTCTATACAAAATAAAAAAACTAACCAGGCGTAGTGGCATATGCCTGTAGTCCTAGTTACTCAGGAGGCTGAGGCAGGAGGATTGCTTGAGCCCAGAAGGTCGAGGCTGCTGCGGCACTCTAGCCTGAGAATAGAGGGAGACCCGGTGCTCCCCTCCCCCCAGATAAGGGTACAAGTCTGCATTTTCTAAAGCAATAAATGATATCTTAAATAATTATTTAATAATCTGTTTAAAATTTGTTAAAAATAAGTATATCGTTAATTAAGTACATCATATATTTTAGTGTTTCTATTCTTACATAATGTAGCATGTTTGCATTTCTGGTTGATATTTTCTGTTCATTTTGTTTCTTTAGTTTCACGCTATGGATACATTGTATAGACACAGCTATGATTTGAGCAGTGCCATTAGTGTCTTAGTACCACTCGGAGGACCTGTTTTATGCAGAGATGAAATGGAGGAATGGTCAGCCTCTGAAGCTAGCTTATTTGAAGAGGCACTGGAAAAATATGGCAAAGACTTCAATGACATACGGCAAGATTTTGTAAGTAGAAAATTATGAGTAAAATAAAATGTTGAGATGGGAATATTCTGTTTTAGAAATCTGGTAAACCTTACAGTATTCATTTAGCAAGTTTGTAACTTTTATCTGCTCAAAGTAAAATGAAGGCTAGTCTTGTAAAGGGAGAAATTGATAATTATTCGGAGGACTAGTTGTATTAAGACCCACAATATCAGGCCGAGTATGGTGGCTCACGTCTGTAATCCCAGGACTTTGGGAGGCCGAGGTGGGTGGATCACGAGGTCAGGAGTTCGAGACCAACCTGGCCAATATGGTGAAACCCCATCTCTACTGAAAATATAAAAAATTCACCGGGCGTGGTGGCGCGCGCCTGTAGCCCGAGCTACTCAAGAGGCTGAGAAAGGAGAATCTCTTGAACCAGGGAGGTGGAGGTTTCAGTGAGCCAAGATTGCACCACTACACTGCAGCCTGGGCGGCAGAGCAAGACTCCATCTCAAAAACAAAACAAAACAAAAAAATCCCCACACTCTCAGCAAGTCCTGTGTTCTTGGTGTAAACCTTGGCAATATTAATTTATCCTATTTACCTCTCTCTGAGTTCCGAGTTAAAATATGGTCAGCTCTTCTCACCATTTGCACTAAACAATCTGATATCTGCTTTTAGACTAGTTGTTCTGCTTTAAACTTTCTGTATTTTTCTAGTTGTCTTACTAATTGTTGAGCCTGAATTTGATGCGGACCCTTAATGAAATGACCTCTGCCAAGCACAGTAGGAGAATTTGTTTTATGGGCTTTTGATCTTTGATTCTTAATGATACAGAGCAATGATCCCCAACATTTTTCGCACCAAGGACCAGTTTTGTGGAAGACGGTTTTTCCATGGACTGGGAGTGGAGGGAGCTTTCAGGATGATTCAGGTGCTTTACGTTTATTGTGCAAGTGCACATTTCTATTATTATTACATTGTCATATATAATGAAATAATTATATGTCTCACCATAATGGAGAATCAGTGAGACTTCTGAGCTTGTTTTCCTGCAACTAGACAGTCCCATCTGGGGGTGATGGGAGACAGTGACAGATCATCAGGTATTAGATTCTCATAAGAAGTACGCTACCTAGATCCCTCGCATGCACAGTTCACAATAGGGTTCGCGCTCCTATGAGAATCTAATGCCGCTGCTGATCTGACGGGGCAGAGCTCAGGGGCCAATAGGAGTAATGGGGAGTGGCTATAAATACAGATGAAGCTTCGCTGGCTTTTCCACTCACCTCCTGCTGTGCAGCCCAATTCCTAACCAGTTCGTGGCCCAGGGATTGGGGACCCCTGAGTATCCTATGTATATTTTTTATTATTAAATTTTTTTTCCCTCAGCTTTACTGAGGTATAATTGACAAGTAGAAAATACATATTTTCAAGGTATACAGTATGATGATTTGATATACATATACATTGTGAAATGATTACCACAATTAACACATTCATCACCTCACTTATTTACCCCATGCAGTGGGGTAAATACCAGGTCATCTTGTCTACTATAGTATGTACTGTTGTCTTTGTGTTTATGGACTTATTGTCTTTAATTAAACTTACGGTTTCTTTGAAATGGTGAAATTTCCATTTGAGATTTTCATAAATAGCTTTCTATGAAGTCATCCTTTATTTTAAATTACAAAAATAGAATCTTTATAGACTATTACATTTTTGATGTGAGTCAGTAGCCTGCCTTTTATGTTGCTGCATCTTTACTGAATTGTTGGACACAAAGTTGTTACTTACCAATATGGGTTGATAAATTAAATCCCAGACATGGTAATTAAAACTGTTAGTGTCACTGATAATTTGTTCTTCTGGCAAAACTTCACTCATACTTAACTTGTTACATGCCATGATTTAAATTTGTAGGATGCGCAGTTGAAAATTTAAAATGCATTGGCTTTTAGCTTCAGATGGTCAGAATAACATAATAGTGCAATGTTATTAATATAACAGTTATAATAGAGCTACAGCTACATAGAAATTACAAAGAATAAAACCTAGTGATTCAAGTCTACACTGTGAGGCTGAATGAAAATTCAAAAAAGATAAAGCAGCCATAAAAAAGGATGAGTTCTTGTCCTTTGTAGGGACATGGATGCAGCTGGAAACCGTCATTCTCAGCAAACTATCTCAAGAACAGAAAACCAAACACCACATGTTCTCACTCATAGGTGGGAATTGAACAATGAGATCCCTTGAACACAGGAAGGGGAACATCACACACCGGGGCCTATTGTGGGGAGAGAGGAGGGATAGCATTAGGAGATACACCTAATGTAAATGACAAGTTAATGGGTGCAGCACACCAACATGGCACATGTATACATATGTAACAAACCTGCATGTTGTGCACATGTACCCTAGAACTTAAAGTATAATAATAAAAAAAAGATAAATAAAACCTGCAGATCTGATAAAGGAGTAGGAGGTGAGAAACACCGAAAGTGAAAATACTTTTCCCTGCGCAGAATGTAATACCTTATTCTATGTTCTAGTGGTATTTACTGAGTACGGGTAACACGCCAGGCCTGCAAAAAGGCACTAGGCATGCAACAAAAATTGAATGTGGTCCTTGCTTTAAGGAATTAATTCATAGTTAAAATCAAGAGATTGAAATATACCCCCAAGTAAAATATAATTAATTATTTCTCTCAGTACATAAACAAGTATATAGGAATATTAAAAAGGATTCAGTGTGCCAAAGTGGGAGAGGCTTGATGGAGTTAACCGGCATTTCCTCTGGGTCTCTAATAGGTAAAGAGAGAAAAGAGCAGATAGCAAGGTAAACACTGAGGTGTGAAACTTCAGCACTCCTAGGCACTTAACACAGGACTAGAAGATAACTCTGTGAACCCTAGGTTAGTGCAGTATACTTGAACATAGAGGCTGGCATCAGTATCAGATAAAATTAACAATGAAAATGAGTGTAACAGTAATAATACTGTTAGATGATTTTTTTGTTGCCTTTATGGTCTAACAAAATTACAGATTTGTAGCATGGTATATATTAGTTTTTCTTTCGTTTTACCCTAGCTTGTTTGAATAGAAAGCTTATTGAAACATTAAGTACTGGGGAAGATGAAGAAATACACATCAGATTGGGCCTCCAAGATTGTGACTTTGACAGTCACACTTCAGAATGGGCCAGCTAAGGATACTGCCGTCCTTGCTGTGATGAGAAACCATTAGGAAGTAGGAAGCTACCATTCTGTCTGTGGCTCCAATGTGCTGTCTCTCCCTCAAACCCCACCAGCAGGGTGCCTTTAGTACCAAATCTGTCTGTCTTGCCAGTGCATCTATGGTGCAACCTAAATTATACCCAGAATCTTAGATGCAAGGGAGTCTGGGAAATGTGGATTTTAACCCTGGAGACTGCCCCCTAGGTGGTGGTTGTTGGAAGGCCAGTCCGGATTAGATTTGTTGTATTTTGGAGACTGGAATTGGTTACTTGTGTCAAGTAAAAGAAACAGGATAGAATGTCAGAGTGTTAAACTGCTCAAAGGGTTTTGTGCTTTTTGTGGTAGGTAGTGTTTTTAAACTTATCATCCCCTCTTTCTCTCCATACTTAAAAAAGTAATATATAAACTTACTAGAAAATAAAATGCAAATAATGTTATTTCCTATAATGCCATCACAGGTACATGATGTTGTTGGGGCAATGTATTTCTTATGACATGAAGTTTTAAGAAGTGTCCTTTTAGAAATTGTCAGGTAGTGTATGCAACAAAAAGTCTCCTGGGCCTCCTCTGCTTAAATACTAGACCTTTACCTGAGCACTGAGCAACTGTGTCATAATGGTGAGTTTTTTAAAGTGATTTCATCCCACTACCCAAAAGTGATCATTGATTATTTTCTGCTTCCAGTGTCTTAGTTTTCCCAAGTGAATGAATATATTATTGTGTATTTGTACATTTAAGAACAAATTGTGTAGAAGGCACATATTTGGGTATAGATATTTTTATATTTAGTGTTTAGTGATAGCTTTATTCCAAAGCTTAATTTAACTTGTTTCAAAATTTATACACAGTAAAATTCACTCCTTTACAGTTTTTTACAGTTAAAGTTCTGTGAGTTTTTATTAATGCATACTCCCATAACCATCACCACAGGCTGGGTGTGGTGGGTCACACCTGAAATCTCAGCACTTTGGGAGTCTGAGGCAGGAAGATCGCTTGAGCCCAGGAGCTCAAGACCAGCCTGGGCAACATAGTGAGACTCTGTCTCTTAAAAAAAAAGAATAGTCTGGGCGCAGTGGCTCATGCCTCTAATCCCAACACTTTGGGAGGCCGAGGTGGTTGGATCACTTGAGGTCATGAGTTCGAGACCAGCCTGGCCAACATGGTGAAACCCCATCTCTACTAAAAATACAAAAAAATTAGCTGGGCATGGTAGTGCAGGCCTGTAATGCCAGCTACTCGATAGACTGAGGCAGGAGAATCACTTGAACCCAGGAGGTGAAGGTTGCAGTGAGCTGAGATCACGCCACTGCACTCCAGCCTAGGTGATAGAGCAAAACTTCATCTCCAAAAAAAAAAAAAAAAAAAAAAAGACTGGGCATGGTGGCTCACACCTGTAATCTAAGCACTTAGGGAGGCTGAGATGGGCAGATCACTTGAGGCCAGGAGTTTGAGACCAGGCTGGCTAATATGGCAAAACCCCATCTCTACAAAAAAATACAAAAATTAGCCGGGCCTGGTGGCACATGCCTGTAGTCCCAGCTACTTGGGAGGCTGAGGCACGAGAATTGCTTAAACCTGGGAGGCAGAGGTTGCAGTGAGCCAAGATCGTACCACTGCATTCCAGCCTGGGTGATAAAGTGAGACTCTGTCTCCACAAACAAACAAAACTCATCACCACAATCAAGACACAATACAGTTCCATCACCTCTTCCGTCAAGTCTCCCCTTTTATAGTCAACGATACCCTAGCCCTAACCCTGGCAACCACTGATTTATGCTCCATCCCTATAGTTTTGCCTTT